TGATGTGATGATGATGTGATGATGATGATGATGATGATGATGATGATGATGCTGATGATGATGCTGATGATGATGATGATGATGATGATGAGATGATGATGATGATGCTGATGATGATGATGATGATGATGATGATGATGATGATGATGATGATGATGATGATGATGATGATGATGATGATGATGATGATGGATGATGGAGGAGGAGGAGGAGGAGAGGAGGAGGAGGAGGAGGAGGAGGAGGAAGAGGAGCAGGTGGAGGAGGAGGAGGAGGAGCAGGAGGAAGAGCAGCAGGAGGAGGAGGAGGGAGGAGGAGGAGGAGGAGGAGGAGGAGGAGGAGGAGCAGGAGGAGTAGGAGGAGGGAGGAGGCTTGCCCTGTCGATCGGGGGAGGGAGCCGCCGGCTGCGAGGAGAGCCCCCGGGGGGGGGGCAGGTCTCGCCCCGAGCGGGGGCGCACCGGAGGGCGCCTGCGACGCCGGGGCGGGTGGCGCGTGGTTGTCGCAGGCGAGCGCTCGGGGAGCCCGCCGCCGCCGCCATCGGCGGCGAGCGCCCAGGGGGGACGTGGGAGGGATCGGACCTTCTCAGAAGCTTGGCTGCCTCGATGCGCCCGTCTGGAAGCGCAACGCGTGCCGTGCTGGAAGCGTCTGTACGTTCTGGCGAGCGTATCGCGTCATGCCTACGTTTTCAGTCTGTGTGTTGAGCTCCGTATCGATATGCTACGTGTTGCGAGTTGCGCATCGGGGCAGCTGAGCTCAGATGGCTCGGAGGGCATCGGGCCTTCTGAGACATTTTCTGAGTCCTCCCCAGCGGCGCAGGACACTCCTCAGAAGGCTGGAGGGCCTCTGATAGGTCCCGCCGCTCCTTCTCACTTCATCCCCTCGTGCGCCGCCGATCGGTAGCAAGTCATGAGAGCCTCGTGTGTCCTCGAAATTCAGTTTTTGGATGTGTGCGCCAGCGTCCGCTGGTCTTCTAGAGAGCGCCGACTTGGCGTTGATTAGCGTCGATTTTCTGAAGCTGGGCGAGGGCTGCTAAAACCGTGGCTGCCAAAACGGCCCTCCCGGAAGGAAAAAACAACTTCCCGGAAAGAGGCGCGGCACGCGAAACAGTCAACGGGCTTCTTCCCAGAAGGACGAAGACAACTTCCCGGAGGTCGATTTTAGCAGCCACGGACTTAGCAGCCCTTGCCCGGCTTCCGAGATTTGGTGTCGGATAGCGTTGATTAGCGTGGATTGGCGTCGGTTAGCGCCGGTTAGCGCCGATTCGCAAGGGCCAGCAAGATGGCATGGGAGGTTCCCATGATTTGCCATCGAACACCCTCTCGCTTGGTGGAACATGCAGCGACGAATGAGTTTTGCCATTTTCGGTCTGGGGACCCTCGCCGTGCCCCAGGACCGTGGAACAACAACCCAGGATAGATTCGGTTCTGGGGAAGGGGTCCAGATCTCCAGGGGTCACGTTGTGGAAACGTCGTCCTGGTCCTTCAGAGGAGGAGAGGTACCAGCACCGCTACCCTGGCCTCGTTTTCACCCTCTTGGGCCTCCTGGGTGGCCCTCGTCGCCACGGCCTGGAGTCCTGGTCAGAACGCGCTCCGGAAGAGGAACACGGAGTGGAGGAATCGGTAACCATCTTTTTGGTTTCCCCATCCTCGTCCCCATCCCTCGCATAAGAAACAGCACAGACAACCTTTCGGATTTCCGCGCGGATGTCTTGGATCAGCGCTGGGCCTCCCCAGCGGCGCCTTTCTGGCGCCGCCCCTGGCGCGCTCCGCGCGGCAGGGAAGGGGGGTCCAGCGCCGATCCAAGAAATCCGCACGGAGCTCCGAAAGCTCATGTCTAATGCTTCCACCCCCTCTGCGTCCTGTTCTTCCTCCCCCGCCTCGCCCTCCCCCTTCGCTGCCTCCCCCCGTGCTCCTCTCCTTCTCCCCCTCCCGTCCATCCTCCTCGTCCTCCTCGACGTCCTCCTCGTCCTCCTCCTCCCTTCTCCGTGCCCTCCTCCCTCGTCCTCCTCCTCCTGCTGCTCTTCCTTACTGCTGCTTCTCATCCTCCTGCTCCTCCGCCTCCTCCTGCCTCTCCCTCCACGTCCTCTCCCTCCCCCCCCTCCTCTTTGCCCCTCGCGCCGCCGCCTTTCTCTCCTCCTGCGGTGCGCCGTCTTGTCGAACCACGCTCGTCGACGCCCGCCCTCAGCCCCGTTGACGGGGAGGCCTTGGCTCTCTCAGAAGTCGGATAATAATAGCAACCTGCATAAACATACACTTTCGGAGGTCCGCGCGGATTTCTTGGATCGGCGTTGGGGCCACCCTGGCAGCGCCTCCGGCGCCGCCCCTGGCGCGCTCAGCGCGCCAGGGATTGGGGGAAGGAGCCCAGCGCCGATCCGAGAACTCCGCGCGGAGCTTTGGAAGCTCATGCATATGCAGTTTTCTTCCTTCATATTCGATTGTCTGAGACCCTTGCGAGCATCAATGACTCTGAGAGATATCGGGAGATTCGCCCTGCCAAGGGGAATCGCCCGAGGAGGCTTCTTCAGATGGAGTGCGCGGACGGTTCCAGAAACTCGCTGGAGCAATTTTTGTTTCAAGATTTTGATGCTCCGACTTTGACATGATATATATATATATATATATATCTATAATATTGATGGTAGGTTAGGGTTCACCCTACTTTCTCTTCGTGTTGATGTTTCGACGTTTTTTTGTCATGATGTTTGATCCTAGGGGTCTGCGAAACGATCAGATTTGGAATTCTGCTGCCAGCGAACGGATAAGTCTTTCTTTTCGTACGCTCCCACGTGGACGCCATCGGCTTGGCATCGTCGTGAGGCATCGGCTCGAAGGCGGCATCGGACGCGCTCGAGAGCTTTTGCTGAGCGTGCTCAGTCGTGTCTTTCTGGAAGGGTATCCCAAACTCGTGGTGCTGGCCCAGGCGTCGTCAGCACGTCCCTTGCTCTCGACTGCCGTGGGGGGTGAGCCCATATGGGAGGCTCTTCTCAGTGCAGTGCCCAGGTGGACGGCAATGTTCCACTTGCGCACCAGCGACGCCGCCCCCAAAATAAAGAAAAAGGGAGGCAGGAGGGGAACAGAGAGGAGGGAGGCAAGCTAGGTGCGCTCGCGCCAAATCTGACATCCTACCCCCCTCTCCAATCCCTTCACATTGTGCTGATAGTTATCTATCCGCCAACGTGTGTCATAGCGGACCTAGAACACCCAAAAAGAACCCACCGTGCCACGCGCGATCTGAAAAGAGAGCTGTGTACATTGGAGGAGGAGGAGGTAGCAGATGAGCAGGAGGATGAGCAGGAGGAATGGGGAGAAGGAGGAGGGAGGAGAGAGGAGGGAGGAGAATGGGGAGGAGAGAGGAGGAGGGAGGAGGGTCCATTCGTTGCCCAGGGTCTTGTGTATCGGGGACGCCTGCGGCGGACCACTTCCGCCCGATGCCTTTCGGACGCGCCTGTGCTGGTCTTCGTGTTTTCCCAGCAGTTGTGGAAACAGTTGAGGGAACACTTGGGGAAGGAGGGGGAGAGGAGGGGAAGTGGGAGGGGAAGGATAGGGGAGAATATGGAGTTGGATGATGATGCTGCAGATGATGACGCTGCGAATGATGCTGATGGTTCTGACTGCTGATGATGATGATGATGATGATGATGATGATGATGATGATGATGATGATGATTTTGATGATGATGATGATGATGATGATGATGATGATGATGATGATGATGATGATGATGATGATGAGATGATGATGATGATGATGATGATGATGATGATGATGATGATGATGATGATGATGATGATGATGATGCTGTTGATGATGATGACGATATTGCTGCTGCTGATGATGCTGCTGCTGCTTCTGATGATGATGATGATGTTGATGACGACGACGACGATGATGATGTACGATGATGATGCTGATGATGATGATGCTGTTGTTGTTGTGGTTGTTGTTGTTGATGATGATGGTGATGATGATTATGATGCTGATGATGATGATGATGATGATGATGATGATGATGCTGCTGCTGATGATGATGATGATTATGATTATGATGACGATGCTGATGATGATGCTGCTGTTGCTGATGATGAGGAGGATGATGATAATTGCAACGGATAATATACGTAGTGACGATAGTAGATAATCATGGCATGTCTACAATCTTTACTAACCCAGGAACTGAGACACGTAAAAGTTAACGGGCCGAGGGCCTGGCAGAGGGGCCCAGGGAAAGGTGAGTGTGTTTTGCAGATTCTCAAGACACCCTTTTGAAACGTATGAATGTATGTACGGCTCTATACCCCAGTCGCCGTCGCCCGCGCCTCCAGCTGCCGCCGCTCCTCACGTCACGTCACTTTCGTCGTCCGAGCCCCCTCACAGCTATCAGTCGGTCTCCAGTGGAGCAGCGCACGTAGGCGAATCGACCAGCAGGCTTCCCTGACGCAGCCCCTGGCAATGCTCTCATCCAGCTTCCGCGCCGAAGACCACCAGGAACCGCCGGAGGCCGTCGAAGACCGTCAGCAGGCCGCCGAAGACCGTCAGAAGACCGCTGAAGACTGCCGACGACCGCCGACGCACGCCATAAGCCCGCCGAAGACCGCCGAAGTCCGCCCAGGGCCAGTGGGCAACAAGGGGTCCACAGGCGAACATGTACGGTGGGGGAACTGGATAGCGTGTCGCTCCGCCGGTTGTGGCCCACCGCGCTTCGGCGCGGTGCGCCTAGAGCGCGTCGTCCAGGCCGCCGCGTCGACACGCGAAGCAAAAGTCCCCGACCGGCTGTTTGGCAGCAGCTCCGCGGCGCCGCCGCGTCAGCGCGCCCCGCCGCGTCCCCCTCTTTCTCCGCGGCCGCCCTCCCCTCCCCCTCGTCCACTCCTGCACGCGGGGCAACTGGCGGCTCCGCAGCCCGGTTCTGGTGCGCGCGCGAGCGGATCGCCTCTGCCGCGCAGCACTCCAGGAGCACTGGGCGACACGAAGCAGACCGCGCCGCCCGCCCTCGCCCCACTGGGCAGGCCAGCGCCGGGAGCCCCCCGCCCCCGGCGCAGGCCGAGGCGTCGGGGAACACGGGCCTGGGCGGAGGAGGGGCGAGGTCGTCCTCGTCGTCGTCGTCGTCGTCGCCGTCGTCGTCGTCGCCGTCGTCGCCGTCGTCCTCGTCCTCGTCCTCGTCCTCGTTGGTGCCGTCGTCGTCGGTGCAGTCGTCGCCGGCGTCGTCGTCGTCGTCGTCGTCGTCGGCGCCATCGTCGTCGTCGTCGTCGTCGTCGTCGTCGTCGTCGTCGTCGTCGTCCTCGTCGGTGCCGTAGTCGTCGGTGCCGTCGTTGTCGTCGTCGTTGTCGTCGTTGCCGTCGTCGTCGCAGATGCGGGTCGCGAGGAGGAGTGAGGAGCAAGTGGGGCAACGAGGGTCGGAGGGTTGTGTACAGCATTTGGTGCATGCAGCTGTTTTCTGCCCCGCTGGCGAGTGCTTTCCTCGATACACTGGTGCCTCCTGGCGCCGTGCGGTGCTGGAAAAATCAGTTACGTGAGCTGGTTTGCTATCCTCCCTTCTACGAAGCCACCCTTTCGCCCAACCCGAGGAGACTGAGGAGCAAGGGGGACAGTGAGGGACGAGCGAGGAGGGGTGGCTGGGTGGGGATGTTATGGAGCCACTGCGAAAAGGGTGGGAAGGCGGGGAAAGGAGAACCGGACGGGGAGAGCGAGTGTGAGGGCGGTGTGGAAGATAAGGAGGAGGAGGAGGAGGAGGAGGAGGAGGAGGAGGAGGAGGAGGAAGAGGAGGGGAGGCTGAGGATGAGGCGAAGGAACAGGGGCGATGGTGCAGGCAGATCGAGGGGGGGCGGTGAATGAGGGAGGGAGGGCGATATGACATAGTACTACAGACAATATAGCCAATGATGACCAGGATGATGATAATTCTGCTGCTGCTGCTGATGACGATGCTGCTGGTTCATGATGATGGTAATGCTGATGACCATGATGATCATGGTGGTGATGCTGATGCTGATGCTGTCGCTGATGATGAGGGTGGTTGTGATAATGATGATGATGCTGATGATGATGCTGATGATGCTGATGATTCTGACTGATGATGATTATGATGCTGTTGATGCTGTTGATGCTGATGATGCTGAGGAGGAGGATGAGGATGAGGATGAGGATGAGGAGTAGGATGAGGCGGAGGAGGAGGAGGAGGAGGAGGAGGAGGAGGAGGAGGAGGATTTTGGGAGGGGGGGCGTCAGCGCGCCACCGCAGCCCGATTCGATTCCAACGCGGCTTTGGCCAAAATAAGGGGGGGAGATAGAGAGAGAGAGAGAGAGAGAGAAAACATTCTATTGGCGAAGAACCCAACCATATGCAGTTGTGGGTACCGCAATTGTGAAGATCTTTTTCGGTGAAGCTCCCTATGGGGCCACGAAGCGCTGCACTGGGTAGGGTGCGCATGCGGGCGGTAGCTGTGGGGCCGTCGGTCGAGCTCCCTATGGGGCCACGACACGCTGTATTGGGTGGGTGAAAATGCCAAATTGGATGTTTCGGGGCGCATGCGGACGGTGGCACTGGGGCCTTCGGTGGAGCTCCTTATGGGGCCACAGAGCGCTGTCATGGGTGGGTAAAAATGCCAAACTGGATGTTTCGGCGGGCGGTGGCACTGGGGTCTTCGGTGGAGCTTCCTGTGGGGAAGTGCCAAATTTGATGTTTCGGGACGCGTGCGGACGGTGGCACTGGGGCCTGGGGTGGAGCTCCCTATGGGGCCACGAATCGCTGTACTGGGTCTGATGTTTCGGGGCGCATGCGGACGGTGGCACTGGGGCCTGCGGTGGAGTTCGGTTATACGGCCACGAAAATCTGGACTGGGTGGTTGAACATTCCAAACTGGATGTTTCGGGGCGCATGCGCCGTTGTACATCTCGTTGGTCCGTGCCGTGGATATCATCCTGCAGCCTGTGGAGTACATCCTCCCTGGAAGGTCCGCTCCCCGGCATGTACGGCAGGGCCTCGCGAGCTTCACCATCACCACGGCAGGACACCGATCGTCACCGACCGTCTTCTCCCCCTTGGCCCCGCTGCTCCAGCTCCCCGCGGTGAACTCTTTTTGGGTCGACGTCCCGACTCAGCTCTTCCCGAACTTCATGATCAGGATGCTCAGCCCCGAGGTCACCAACCATGGTGTTTCTTTCCTCTGCCGGCATACCTCCAGAAGTTGGGGCAGCACTCCGGAGGTCCCGCGCGTGTGCGTGGAGATCATTCTACCGAGCTCTCTTTCCGAGGCGGGTTCCATGCTCGCCATGCGCTTCCTGCGGAGGACCGTGCTGACTGAGCAGATGTACCTTGGGCACAAGGAGCTGTACACGTCTCCAGACGCCCTCGTGGTGGAGTGCAACAGCCCGCTGGGACTGGTCCGTGCGTGGCCGTTGTGCTCACAAGCGATCTTCCTCTCATCCGACAGGGTGCTCGTCTTCACGTCGGCCTCCGTGGAGTCGTGGACCGCGTTGCTCGACAGGGGCCTCCAGGAGGATGAGAACCACGCGATCACGAACATTAAGCACAAGGCCAGCAGCTATGGCGGCCGTCCCTGGGCATTTCCATCCGCTACTGCTCTCGCCCTCGCTGCCTCCCGTCGCCAGCGGGGGCGCGGCGGTCGCAGCTCCACCATGTGTGACAACATCGCGGAGATCACCGTCGCCGGGGAAACCGGGGACAACGGAAGCGTGGTCATCAATCAGCTCCTGTCTCACGTCTGTGCTGCCACGGGCCTGGCGCTCTCCGCGGCCCCCCCAGGTCAGGTGCCACGGCCAGGACAGTGGGTCCATCTTGCTTCTCGGGACGCTAGCGCTCATCCTGGCCGCGCACGCGTGTACCTACACTCACAGGAAGATGTCCAGCAGGTGTATCGCTCGTTGCATGGTCAGGTGCTCCAGGTCGGCGTGGACTTCTTGGCCATCAGGGTGTCCAACGACGTCCAGGACTCTCGCACCCTGCCGGGAAACAGGCGGCGGGGGGGGCAGGGGGCTGCCTCCCCCGCCGCCGCGTGACCTCCTCAGCGCCTTCGACGAGCTATGGAATTCAGATTTTTGATTGCAAGGGTACCTCATGTTGGCTCGTGGACGTCGCCTTCGAGCTCCAACCGGCCAGTGCCGGCCCGGGCTCCCAGCGCCGCGCTCCCTACAGCATGAGTGGGCATATCACGTCGTCTTGTTCTTCGTCACCTTCTTCTCAACGTTCTCGGCGTACATCTACTCAGCTACCTGCACTTGCACTTCTTCATCTTTTTCATCATGTTTCTACCTCAATGGATCAGCTGCCCGACGACTCCATGACGGACGTTCCGGTCCAGATTCGGCTTCAGAACGCATTTCGGCGCGCGCTGCGCCCCAGTGCGCTCCCTGCAGCGCTGCCTCCACGCACTCGCGCACCCAGAGGTCAGCCTTCGCTCGCCCACAGCCCGTACCTCGGCGATGTCTCCGTCATCACATGGAACACCCAGGCCCTCTTCGCCGCGGACCCCGGCCGTCATCGCCGGAAGGCGACCTACGTGAGGAAGTTGATGGCCACCCACGATATCGGCCTCTGGACCGAGACGCACGGGTCCAATGGAGGCAATGAGGTGTGGAGAAATCCCGATGCTTGCACATCTTGGTGGTCACCAGGCCCCACGCCCGCCAGGGCAGGAGTGGGGGTGACGATCAAGAACTCCTTCCTCAAGCAGTTTGCGGCGAACCCTCACTGGCAGATCATTCTCCCGGGTCGTGCTGCAGTACTACATCTGCGAGGCCCCAGTGGCAATCTGGACGTTGTTGTCGTATACTTCCACACTGGTGCTGCCGCCTCCCCAGAAGACATCGAGGCTGCAGGGCTGTCTCACCTGGGCCGCCCCCCATCTTTCCCCGAACTCCGAGACGCTCTCCGACGGCGGCTTTCGCGGCACATCGCTTCCAGGGACCAGGTTCTCACGATCCTCGGAGGAGACTTCAACTATGTTGCGGACGTTTGCGACAGACGCTGCACCTCCACCGCTGCCGTCACGGGTGGGCGGGATCGCGGGGAAGAGGCAAGTTGGCACCGACATTTGGGACTTCCTCATGGCCTCCACGAGCTCCACCAGCCCGACATGACGTATGCTTCGCCTTCGTCCCGATCGCGCCTGGACCGCATTTACTGTAATCAGGCCGTGGTGGAAGGCTTTGATCGGAAGCTAACTTGCGCTGCATTGGAGTGGCAGTCAGAGCTATCTCGACATAGAGCCGTCAGCTTTCGGCGTTCACTGCCGCAGCGGGAACCCGACTCATGCGCCCCGATATCGGACCTCACATTGGATCACCCCGAATGGCCGCGCAGAGTGGCGCTCGCGTGGCAGGAGATGCTGGACAGCGAACCTTCCGCCTCGCCTCCACGGCGGCTCGTGCTACTCAAGCGGGCCATGCGCGAGGCCGCCAAGAACTTCGGCTTCGAGGCTTCGGGTCCGCCGGGCCCGCTTGCGCACGAGGATCGCCTCGGGGTCGCCATGAAATTCCTCCGCGCCTCAGAAGAGGGCTCGGCAGGCGGCGTCAGCCAATGCATCCAGCGGTATCCCATCTTGAAGGATCTCGTGGACAACCCTTACGACTTCCACACGAGCCCTGGCCGTCGCCTCCGGCTGGTCCGAGTTCACGCTGCCGACCTTGCTCGCGATCACGCCATCGACGAGCTGGGCAGGCTCCACGCCGACTTGAAGGACCTCTCCGATGCGCAGGCGGCGCGGCGGCGACATCAGAACCATCGTCTTCTTACACGCTTGTCTCCTGGCCGCGGCTGCTCCCACTACGCGCTCAGTGACAGCGCTGGCCACGTGAGCACATCACCAGAGCACATCGCAGGAGTTCTGCGCGACCATTGGTCTGGGGTCTTCCGCAGACGGGAAACGGACACAACCTTGCGCCGCACCTGGCTTGCAGACGAGGCCTCGCACGCCTCGCTGGCAGACCGCCAGTGCGTGCCCGGCGTCGCCGTGCCCTTCGAGATCTTCGAGCGGGCGGTCCAGCACACGAGCAACAGCTCTCCTGGACCAGATGGGATCCCGTTCCGC